GTTTTCTCCTCACGGCCCTGGTACGACAGGACCCCCGGCCCACCGTAGCGGGTTACGGTCTGCTCCATGCTGCTGCTCAGTCAGCTCTGCTGATCAAAGAAATACCGAGAGCAGCCCTCCAAAGAATGGGCCCGGACAAACGCCCCGCTAGCCCCCACCTGTGGGGGTTTTTAAAGATGTCCCCTGCATCGTGGCCCGGGAAAATGCCTCGACGGCTCCGGCCCACTCAATTGTGGGTTACGGGTTGCCCGACAGGCCCGCCGAGTTGACGAGACCTGAGAAGAGCCGCCCGCGTGAACAGACTACGCGTAATTTTTTTATAGTTATTTTTACTGATCAATACATCACAAATACGATACGAAATTCCCTACCTACTAACATACAAGAAACTACTTTCAGCTTTATAAACCCAAGTAAACAAACCTAGATTGGCAAACTCAGCCTAACTACGTAGTTGGTAGTTCAGTCATGTTTGATCAAAGTTCGTATTTGCATGAAATATTCCCATTTAATTTACAGATAATAACTTAGTAAAATTGAATGAAATAGGTATATCTAATTAAAGAATGTGAACATGATAATTAGCCAGCAATAATCAATAGCAATCCAGCGTCAAAGCTTCCATCACATTTCTTCAAATCTAAGTACCTAATAAGTATGTATAGTTTTAGAAACATTATTCGATTTTGATTTCTAATGTTAAACAGTTTATTTTTATTCACACAATGTGTATAATAAATATTTACTTTCAAGGCCAAAAATAGCGCGTCTGCTTACTACAAAATTGAGTGAAAAATAAAACAAGGGTGGATAAAAATTGCACGAAGACAGTTGCAATATTTAACTAAGAACTATTGTGTGTTTGTCTAATTTAGAATAAATGATTAAAAATAAAAAGAAAGTTGGAACCTGTCACGTTAGTAATCTTCTTGATATTTTGTTTTCTGCCCACACCCTTGCGTGGGACGTAATGTTACAACTAAGAGCCTTACAGACAAAATTAAATGAGGATACTTTTTAGTCTAGACATTGTAATATATTATGTTGAACCAATCTTACAGAAAAAGCCATTTTTAAGTAAAATCCTAACAAAGGGATTTTTTAGAAACCCAACAGAAACATTTTCTATTGGGTTCACCTAAATTGACACTTTTGCCTTTGTCGTTTACCCAAACCATTCTTAGTTGAACAGCTTGTAACTACTTAGAACTTACTTGTAACTGCTTATTACCGAAGTGCCTAAAAAACTTGTAGCTAATTGCTCTATACAATTTGTTTGTGAGCAACATAAGAACATTAACCTTAATAAATTATATCCATCGGAACGATACTGAAATGTTGCAAAAAGGGTCATTTAAAAAAAACTTCAGGTTTTTTTACTTACTATAAAAAAATATAAAATTACCTACTTGGTGACGCTACGAAACTTTATTTTCGGCTCAGTCCTTTACACGTTCGTTGTAGGTAACGATAGGTCATTCTAACAATTACGATAGTGGGTCACGTTTCGAAGTAACTTTGCAAAACAAACTAACCACAACACATTTCCAATGTGACCGATGTTTCTGAAACAATTTGGGTCCCACGGGCTCCACAAAGTGTAATTGCTCGGCCTGTGATTGAGTCTGCCCTCTACTTCATCTACGTATCAGATTCAGAGTGAGCTTGTTACTTAGGTGCACAAAAATTGCTGAAATCGTTGTGAAGTCTATGAAAATAAATATATCGTGGATATGCACATGCACAATCAATTTAACCTGCTCAGAATACCTAAGTAAACAGGTGGATATTAATAAATCTATTCAATAAGGAACAAAAAGTGGCGTAAATTCAGAGCAAACTGCTAGTTCTCTTCGAAATCCTGCTAAACCGTTAAATTGTTTGCCGTTCGGTTAAGATCTGACCCGGATAAAAAAATATCCTTGCTTGCGAAATATTTCACGTTAAATGCACAACCAAAACAAACATTTGCCATACTAACTAATTCATTCGTTTTATCAAAAATTCCCCAAACCGAGTTCAAATATCCCTCGGTGAACCCTTGTCGGAGTCGCAGACCAGAAAATACAGACAACCCATTCACTATCATGCCACAAGAAATGTCGTGGATTAAACGGTAATAGCAGCAGTGCTTAGGACCTGCAAAGATACGAGTAGGAGCTTAACTTCAATGCAATATTGGTAACAAATCGCAGCAATACCTACTTTAGTATTGTTATAAAGTAAGTAAACGTTTGGGAGTTTTTTTATGTACCTCAAACCACAAAATGTGTCTCCCTAACACGAAGATCGTTAGTGTTGAGTAAACATTAATAAATAAATAAATATCCTTGGACATTTTACACTGCGCCGCTAGTCCCAAACTAAGCAAAGCTTGTACTATGGTTACTAGACAACGGATATAAACATACTTAAATAGGTACATTTTTTTTTAAATACATACATATTATACATAGAAAACACCCAGACCCGTCACAGAAACTAAAATTCATCATTTCAATTTTTGCCCGACCGGGAATCGAACCCGGGACCTCTCGGCATAGTAGTCCGTTCTGAACCACTACACCAAACGGCCGAAACATAGTTCAATTATTTGAACGAGTAGTTAATTAGTCGTAAATTGCTTCAGATACTTACCCATGTATTCTTCATCATCGTCAAGCCGACCTGCTCGAGCTGTGGCCACGGTTACAGCCTACAAGTAGGATATCTTGTGCAAAGAGTTGGCAGAAGTCGGCCAAGGCCGCTCCTGTGTAAAGATTTAATGACCGGCCGTTTTTACCCGCTGCCCGGCCGGCTCGGGTGCCCACGCGCTGGGTGACGCTGATTATGAACTCGCTAACTTTTAAACTGTTTAGAACTTTGGAATTTTTAATGAGGTTGCAAAGTACTTAACGATTTTTTGCCACCAATTCGGTGGTGGTTCTAGCGAAACTGATAAAAGTTTTTTTTCTTCATTTCTTTGCCATTTATTTATTTATTTAATTAAAATTCAATACTTACGCCATTGAATTTTGTATTAAGCTCCTTGATCCATCTTTATTCTACCTATACCATTATTTAAATAAGGTGGGCAGTAGCGGCGTAAGGGGGGGGGCGGTGGGGGCGGTCCGCCCCGGGTGCCAAGCATTAGGGGGTGACACAAGTCGCACAGATTAGTACTCCCGGGTGCCAAGCATTAGGGGGTGACACAAGTCGCACAGATTAGTACTCACTGGCGCATCTGCATGGCAAGTCATGATACGGGGGGAGGGGGGGTGCGATCATCGAATCGGCAGGTAACCCCAAAAAAACCTGGGGGTACCAGGGGGTGCCTTAGGACTTATGACGGGGGGGGTGATCGCCCCGGGTACCAACCCATGCTACGCCGCCACTGAAGGTGGGTATCATTTTCAGACAACACGATCATGCTTGCTATTTGTCAAAGGTCTCAGAAGTATTTTTTTTTAATATTGTACCTACATAATTAGTTAAGTTTTAATGCCTTACCTTTATGTATTGATACAACCTTATTTATTAAATATCCTTTTAGTATTAAATCCCAGTATCTTCCGTCGATCTGGAAGCCGTACTCCCAGACTGCATGTGGGGTAGGTCCCTTATTAGTTTATTTACGAGAGGCCTACTCGCGCCCGGCCGCCGATACAAATTTAACTGCCCCTCAAATTTTAACCCGCCCTACGCTTTGCTCATCGACTCCAGAAGGCACCAGCTTAAGCTTCAAGGTCTTGCTCTGATTTGGTCAAAGCGTTTGTAAAACTTCCCTAAATAGCGCTTTTGACGATTAACTTACCTGTGGGTATAAGGATAATCTGTAGTTACCTTTTGAAGTGGAAATACGTAACTAACTACGTGCGTGGATTCGTTTACCTTAATGCAAAATTACTGCCTCAAATACCTTTCACGGAGGTTGTGAAAGAATGGGAAAACTAAGATATTGATGCGCCGTTCGTTTCCCCCATCAATTCAAAATAGCAGCCATAAACCATGCTTTTAACGACGGGTCTCTCGCGACCTTCAAGTCGAAACCAGGGGTAGGTATACCTACTCGGAATATATGAAACGGTCCCACTATTGATCGTCTCTCTCATTCCTATTAGAAACCTAGGGTGTGTGAGTCAGAGAGATAAAATCAAATCTACAATATTATTCTGCGACATGGAATCTTATCCCACTACTTAAACTAAGTTACTCCCATTCCGTAAATATGCGACTCGCACTTCTGAGACTTTTTACGTATTTTTTATCCTTGAATGTGTTTTCGTTTATTTAAGTTTATTTATACCATCGTAAAATATTGGATCTGCTGAGTGGTTACTCGTACTAAAAAGTAATTTTGCCTTATCTTCAGCGGTAAGTTACTTTTTATAGGTAACTCTACTTCCACTCTCACTCATATTGCTTTGAGCTATATGCATAAACTTTGGTCCTGGGCCCTGACAGATCTCTCATCATCAAAATAATCAGGTCATAATAATATAATAAAATCTACAGCAGGATGACTGCTCTTTCTAATTTATAAAAGGCCAATAGAGCTGGCAAAGGCCTTCTCTCCCCGGGTTAACACCATGGAAAGCTAATTAAAGTCGCCCCCTTACCTAATAAAAAGTTACACAGTTGTTGAACACTGTTTTAAAATGACATTTCCATACTAAATGTCACTTTCAAACACTGTTCAACGAGTGTGTAAGTTTTATTAGTAAGGGGTGCAAACTTTTACCTATTTTATTTAAATGCAATGAAAATATAAATAAAAAACAAAAATTTCAAGAGGATACTGCCCATATTTCTTTCTTTTAATAATTTGTATAATTTACTGCAATTTTGTTTTTAATTACTCAAATCTTGTCGTTAAAAACATAAAATTAAATGTCGTTTTGAAATTATTATTGATGAACGCAACGTGATTTTATTATGTTTGTGGCTAATTAATGCCTGTTGCAAAAGCAAGAAATTGAAAAAAAAAAAATTTGACAGTTGTTTGACACATGCCATATCTGACACGTCCTTACGTGCGAACTTCACCTTGGTCAATTACGACCTCCATTCATCCTTCGTCCCATCAAAATACAGATTTTATCATCATTTTCAACGATTATTACCGAAAAACATACTTAAAACCCTTTCAGTAGGCCTACAAGTGTATTGTTTTAGTATCTAAGTGTAAAACTGTGGTATAAATATTGAAAATGGCGTTGAAATCGTCGCCGGTTGTGTTCGGTTTGCTGGCTCGGCTGTCTCGCCGTAGTTTTTCGACTTCCAAGGCTTTAGCGGCGAAGCCTGTGACTGTCCGTGATGCCCTGAACCAGGCAATCGACGAAGAGATGGAAAAGGACGAGAGGGTGTTTGTTTTGGGCGAAGAAGTGGCTCAATACGACGGGGCTTACAAAGTCACAAGGTGAGCTTTTCCTCGCGTGATATAACCTTTTTGTGTCAATTTATGAGGCGTTGCTAGTAATATAATGCAAGTAAACATCATCTTGTATCTTCCCAAGACAGGCTAAAAAAATATTTAAATATTTTAGTTAACCTTTTTCTGTTACAAGAAAAGAATGTTACATAACCAACAAGTTTGTTGACAGATCTCAGGTGTAACGCTATCTGAGACGCAAGCAGACGTCAGTGGATGTCATAACAAAATTCCTTACCTGTACTGAGTAGAACAAGACTGATGGCCCTCGTTTTAGTTATTGATGTGATTGATACCAATAAACAACGTTAATGTTACTTCTCATGATATTGCAATGATAGAATATTTAATAACATGGCCAGAAACCTAATTATGCGGCCAAAAATTTCAACAAACCTACAGTATATTGCGATGACTATAAGAACTAGGAAAATGGCATAATATTATTTATTTCTAATTCTATGTTGAACATTGAATTTATTACTATTTCTCAGAATGTGAAAACTTTGTATTGTGACATCCCTTCTGCTACCTAGTACATTCAAATAACTGATGTATATTGAGGCTGGATTTACATTAATTGAATTGTTAACTTATTCAGTTATATTATCCAGTTATAATATCATCCTTTACAATACCATTTCAGGGGTCTATGGAAGAAGTATGGTGACAAGAGAGTGATTGACACTCCTATCACAGAGGCTGGCTTTGCAGGCATTGCCGTGGGCGCTGCATTCGCCGGCCTCAGGCCCATCTGCGAGTTCATGACTTTCAACTTTTCTATGCAGGCCATAGATCATGTAAGTAAAATAATTTCTAACTATTAAATATTTATAAAAATCGCATAATACATAGTAATTCTAGTACTGGCATATTTTAGCAAATCCTATAACTAATACAAATGAAAACTGTATTGTAAGTTTTGTAAGTGATAGCAAATTCAATAGTGTTTGTTGTGGCAGTCAAAATGATGTTAGACAGTAATTTTTATTTAAATTCAAGTGTGTGCTAGTCACTCTCAATACATTTACCTAAACATATGTATGACTGCTATAACCTTCAAGATCTTAGCAGACAATTTATGCATGTTAATCTGTACCCAGACTTCTTATCAGTGTGAATTCTGATAAAGATAAATAATAATTTGCTTGCACAGACCAATATTATACTAATGTAAGTAGGCCTGTTTTATTAGATTGTAATGAGTTAAGTGTCCATGATCAAGGTCAAACGAAGGGACCAGCAGGAAATGGCATATTGTGGTCAATTACAGTAGCAATTGCTTGCTCAATCTATGTTGTATTTGTGTCACCAACATTGACTTGTTGTATTTTATCATGATTGAGGATAATTTTCTTTCATCTTATCATCATGTATTGATTGATGTTGTTATTTCGGTTAGATTTATCATGATTTCCTTTATTGCATCAATATGTGATTGTGAGAACACTTTCTTTGTTACTAAAGTGTTATTAAATATCCATGTATCTGTTTGTACTTTGCTTAGCTTGAGGCTTACTGGTTGATTATTGAAATGCACCTTATTTTTAATCTTCATTTCAACCTATGACATTCCAATGCTAGACTGGCACATAGCTCGTCAGTCCATTACTTATTTTACATAAGATAAGTATTTAATTTTAAACAGGTTTTTAAATTGAGGCCACGTCTTGGCAAACCTAGAGTGAAAGGCCGACATGCTCCAATCCAAGAGGTTAAATGACACTGGGATGAAAAAGCGGAAGATTGTGCTTTGTGGAGTTCCTTGGGGCATGTTTTTAACACCAAAGAGTAGACTACCATGAGCTTACATTGGTGACAGGGTTAATTTTTTTTAATAGAAATCAGTGATTTAAATCAATGACTGAAAATGGAATTAATGAAAGGGTGGGAGTTTATATAAATCAACTGTAATGTTCGAAAACAATGTTAATATTAGGTGTTAATGTATGAAATTGTCGTTTTGTATAGAGAATGAAAAAAATAATTTTTCCATATGAACATATTTGCGATTTTTTAGATAACCACATAATTTATTTTTTTTGGCGGTGTTGCCGGCTCCATACATTAATCCTACGTAAATAAAAATGTTTTCCGTAAGAAAAACTAAAGAAATCATCGCAAAACATAATAAAAATCAAATTAATCAAAATAAACCGATATTTTTTTAATCTGATATTTTTTGATTAAAATAAAATAAAAAAACATGATTTTTTCCACCCTGCTTGGTAATCATATTTTATGGTGTTTTAGGTGATAAACTCACCGCCTCAAACTTGCTAAATGTCGGCGAGCGGGGCTGTTGACGATCATTAATATCCTAACTACCCTCAAATTGCAGGTGATAAACTCAGCGGCCAAGACGTACTACATGTCGGCGGGACAAGTTCCTGTCCCGATTGTGTTCCGCGGGCCCAACGGCGCCGCCGCCGGCGTGGCCGCGCAGCACTCGCAGTGCTTCGGCGCCTGGTACAGCCACTGTCCCGGGCTTAAAGTGCTCATGCCCTACTCCTCGGAAGACGCTAAAGGTGCGTTTACTAAGCATACTAATACACCGTGAAATTTTAGTGGTTGTTTTCCCGCAGTAAAATGATTCTATCCTACTAGTACCTACAATAGATTAAGGAAGTTTTTTTTTAATTCAAATAAAAAATTAGCGTGTACGGAGCGTGTGCGATTCAGTTTATGCTGTAAGTATTACTTAGTGCGAGAGCTTCTTTTACTTTAAATATTGATTTCATGAGGCAGGCAGTATCCAAATACGTACATTTTGTAAAAAAGACTATTGTTTCTTACGATTTGATGATATTTTTTTGATTAGTTGAGAACATTTTTTTTTTATTTAAAAATAACTCACGATTCGATAGTACTACTAAAGGTAAATCATTCTGCCGCGGGAAAACAACCACTAATATTTCACGGTGTAAACAATGAAGACAATCACGCAACTTAAAGCACTCGCAGTGTTTCGATGCGTGATACAGCCACTGTCCTGGACTTGCTGAATGCCGTACTCTTCAGAAGATGCTGGAGGTATGAAGCTAGCTGAACTTTTTCTAATTAGGGTATATGGTAGTCTGGATAGTATAGACTTTAAAGGCAGGAGCTATGTACAGTCACGGAATGAAAAGGTTCGTCAGTTTTCAAATTGATTCCTTCAACGAATCGCGAGCACATATTACCTTTTGAAACTATGTTACAGAATAATCTCGAGTTAGAGAAAATAATCTTTAACTGTTCGGCAGTAAAGTTCAAAATTATTCAGATCAAAGTTGTTTGACGATTTAACTTGTCAAGAAGATTATTATGATTGATAAACTAAAACCTTCTTGTTGGTTCAACCTGCCACTATCTTTTAAATAAACAAACTACATTTTGTAACATTGCACTGATGGGATAGAAAAATAAACGAGCAAAACCTTATTCGTTAGCAAACGTCATATTTATTTAAATGTTAGCAGCACTGTTTCTTGCACGGTTATGTTGGCAGGTTTGACTCTTACAGTACCTATTGCAAGCGAAAACCGACACTAAGGTGACGAACCTTTTCATTCCGCGACTGTAATAATTTAAAGCAGTTTAAGTGCTCCGGCGCGTGGTAAGCCACTATCTTGTATAACTTACTTCTTACCTTCCTAATTCTTGTATAACCAGTGAAGGTTGAGTAGTCCTACTAGATAGCTTACGATCTTGGAACCCGCAACAATCAGAATAATATACACTCGACATCAAATAAATCGCACCTCCCGCGACAAGCACTTTCAAACGTATGCATCCCCACTTCCCACCAATATTGGCACCATTTAAAAGCCTAGTTCTTAACTTCATTTCATTAAAGGAAAGGTTTTTACTCCAAAAATGTGTCTCCTCCTCCTTCAGAAGGATCCAGAGTCACTTCTTCAAAAATTAAGTAGTTACGCTTGAGCCCAACTTTTATGGCTATAAAACTGTTAAGTTGGGATTAATCGCTATCCATCTGTTAAAGAGGACACGTGAGATCATTATTTGGTTTTATAACCATCAAAATTGGTCTAATTGATCCCAGAGGTGAGCCCAAAGTGAGGTCTTTTTTCAAAGTCACATTTATTGTCTATGTTAATCATTTATTAAGAAATTAAATGTGTTTTTCTTTAAGGATATTGGGCTTTCGAATAACACCAATATTGTTGGGGCACCATGATTGTGTCAGAAGAAAATCTTTAAAGTTCGCATCGCGGAAGGTGCGATTTATTTGATGTTGAGTATAGAAATCAGTGACCAGATAAAGCTATAGCGTCATTGATTTCTGAAAACAATGTATATGAAAACTATTTGTTCATATCCCTCCCTTACCAACTGTGTAAACATTCAGCTTTAAACACTTACACTTGAAAATTTCGACAATTTAATGTCGCAAAATCACTGGTAAGAGTTCCAGCAGTTTTATCCTCAGTTAATTTAGCGAATTCAAGTGATGTTTTAAAAATACCAGCCGCCTGTGAAGTAAACGTAACAATCTCATTCTGATAGGAATTCTTCCTACATGATTTCATTATGTTATAAATCGTTTCTTTTCCAGGTCTAATGAAAGCAGCCATCAGGGAAAACGACCCCGTGGTGGTGTTAGAAGATGAGATTCTGTACGGCATTCCATTCCCCATGTCTGACGAGGCTCTGTCGTCCGACTTCGTGCTGCCCATCGGTATGTATCTTATCACACTAATATTATACAGGCGAGAGTTTGTGAGTGTGTATGTTTGTTACTTCTTCACGTCTAAACGGCTGGAGCTATTTTAATATTTGTTTTATACTAAATTAACACATAGGCTACGTTTTAACACGGGTAACACCGCGGGGCACAGCTAGTCTATATCTTAGTCGACTTAAGTCTGTATACTAAGTCTATAGCTCGCAGAGCTGATGGCTGCTAGGGCAGAAAAGTTCTCGAGTGACGATCATGATGGCCCAGTGGACGTAGTGTTGGCATTCTCCCCACTAGGTGAACCGACGATCTGGTGAAGTTCGTGGGAGGTGCCTGGATGCGAGCGGCGCAGGACCGGTCCTTGTGGAAATCCTTGGGGGCGGCCTTTGTCCAGGAGTCTTTCGGCTGAAATGAACGAATCGACCGGTCATTATGGAAAGTATTGGGGAAGGCCGGCCTATGTTCAGCAGTGGACATCCTATGGTTGTCGAAATGATGATGACGAGGTTCAGGATAAAGTATACAGGGTGTCCCAGAATGGGTGAATCAAACTGCTAGGGGAGGTAGCTCTACTAATGTTACTATCACTAAAAAATACAAAAAAAATTTTTGATTTCGGAATTTTTTTTAAAATAAAATGTTCTAAACTCAAAATCTAGTCATTATTTTTAAAAGTTTGTTTACAGATAAACGAAGCGATCGTGTATAATTAATATTAGTAAGAAAAAAGTACAAATAAACTCCAAACGCAGCAATTATAGCCAGATACTTAGGCAAAGCTGATTTATTTTCACTTTTTCAAAATCATTTTTTTTGTGTCATTATGCGCTTTATTTTTTTCATATTTTTTAGGGATAGTACATTAGTAGAGCTACCTCCCCTAGCAGTTTGATTCGCCCATGGGACATCCTGTATAATGTAGTTTTTATAGTTCTGGAGTATAATTTGGTATATGGTCTAAGGTTCAACCATTCTCTATCTAAAGGTTCAACCATTCATAAAAGCTTACCTCTCTTCATTACTTTGTTTTGTCTTTTGGAACAGCTGTGAACCTTCCCGGTCTATTGTTGAACTTGAACTGGAACTTGATTTGCTAGGCGCAATTTGTAATCGCAAACCAGTCGTAAAATGGTCGGAACGGCGGGGGGGCGCCACCGTCGTTCAAGTAAATAGTTTTAACGTGGCGAATAGCGGAACATGCGATTCGGTATTGACGGTGGCGCCCCCCGTTAGTGTCTCGGGTGTGGCATTTCATATTACATTAGTTTTTAGTTAGTTTAGTTTTTGATTCTGTTTAGTTTTGTGTTAATATTGTTTTCTTTTTTTGTTTTGTTTTTTCTCTCTCTTTTTTGTGATCACCGTCCATAACGCCCCCTGTTGCGCGCCTTCTTGACTGGTAGCCTCAATATGGTCCCGGTCAAGAGGGCGCGCAATCCGCAATCTTCATCGTGTTGGTTCCCGCTGAAAACCAGCTTCTCGACATGGCGCTTGTTATGTCGCGAATATAGCTGAGCGGACGCCACTTCAGCATAGCTTGTAGTTTAATGTTATATGTACTGTATTTTTATTTTATTTTTCTATGCTGAATAAAGTATTCTTATTCTTATTCTTATATGTTTCCAGGCAAAGCGAAGATCGAGCGGGAAGGCAAGCATATTACAGTCGTGTGCGCCGGACGCGCCACCGACACCGCGCTACAAGCCGCAAACGAACTCGCGGGGAAAGGTAATCACTTATCACATACAGTAGAATCTCAATTATCCGGACTTCGATTATTCCGAATATCCGATTATCCGGACTCATTCTTCTCGGTTTTTTACTTCAATGAGGGCTATCGTTTTAGCGCTCACCAGTTAGCGCCACTGTAGAGTAAGGTCCTGTCACTTGCTAATAGCGAAGACAGTGGCGCCAACTGGTGAGCGCTAAAGTGGTAGGAGGACTATCGCATTTGCACTTATCAAGATGGCGCCACTGTAGAGTAAGGTCCTGTCAATCGCCAGGGGTGCCAACTGTTTAGTATAAAAACGATAGCCCTCATTACCGATTTACCATCAAAACAACAAGGGACCGCCACCGTAACACGGTACGGATGTAGTCTTGGTTCATTGTCAAAAGAAATGGATTAATCCAATGGTCTAACTCTAAATGATGTGTTGAAAACCCTTCTTTCTATTGTAAAAAGTTAATTATCGTTTGATTTTACTTTGAAATCGATTATCCAGATTTTCGATTATCCGGATAACCCTTGTTTTTAATTGATCCGGATAGTCGGGATTCTACTGTACATAGAAATACTGGATTTTGATTTGATTTTGAGACATCAATGTACACAACACATTAAGCAGCCTGTCGGAGTAAAATTCAGGAGACGTTGCGTACGCAGCAGTTTACAGCACGAATAGGAATTTAATGGCCGTACAATAAAAGCAGCATACGAACGTGTGTAGCGCCATCTATGATTCTTTGTAGGAATCAGCTTACTGGATTAAAATCCCGGTAGTTCGGTTTACGGAAGAAAATCATAGATGGCGCTTTACAAAGTTGCTTATAGATGGCGCTAAATATGTATTGGTTTGAAACACAGCCACTAAATCGTAACGACACACTAGGTTTGTTTAGACGACTCAAGTTGTTACAAATAAAAGGCGAAGTCTCACTTGTATTAAATTATGTATTCATTGACTGGCTTTTGAAAAGTATCCTAGGTAGCTTACTGGTGTTAATCGAGCTCACAGAGTAGACGCAGACTCACAGAACCTTACCAAGTAACACCGATGTATAGGGGTCTCTGTTGTTACTTGACTCTACAGAGAGTTAAGGAAAAATGAAAGTCAGATAGTCACTGTAGAAATATATTTTAGATTTTCACAATGGGCAACACAATCGCAATAGGGCTTAGGCTGGTTTTAGTGTCACGCTCCGCACGGCCAATCTGTATGAACTTCTAGGGAGCGTTTTAGAGTAATGCGGTCCGGAGGAACCGCTCGCTCCCTAGCAGTTCATACAGATCGGCTGTGCGGAGCGATCCGCACTGACAGTTCGAGTGACACTAAAACCCGCCTTAGTAACGGGCTTTTTGAGCAGACCTTTGTCGCAATAACACACTCACAACCCAGTCATTATTCGAACGTTGAGTACTGATACAGCAGTGGATAATGAGCACCTTGTGTGTGTGAATTTCTAATGCGACACTGAGTTTCGAACTCGGTGCAATCAGATGGCATCTCTCTATATCTCTATGGCAGGGTACTCACCTGCCATTGTAGCACGTAACGTAGCATGTAACGTAACCAACTTTCAAGTGAGTACGGCTCGTCCAAGGTCATCGCGTATCTGGCTGCGAGCTCCTGTATCCTACTGCGAGCCGCCTTTGTGCTCGCAGTGATACCGCCAGTCGGCGGGTCGCTGCGATCTCCCTGCGAACCACGCGCGAGCAGCTCGCAGAGGGCTCGTGCCTATGTACTCATTTGATACAGTATCTGCTACACGACTAGATGAGTACCCTGCATATGGTCTTGTAGAAGACGTTGATTGACGTCGAAGGGCAGGTCAGCAAATGAAACACAGAGCTCGCTCCAAACGTGACAGTATAGCGTGTTCAAACGGCGACTGAGGCATGAGCTCACACAATCAAAGTAACGGACAATTGTTATCTTTGTCTCGCTCACGCCTTAGTCTATCTTACTCTAATAACAATAATTATCTATCTTACTTTAGCAAGTACTAGCAACTATATCTATCTTACTCTAACACATTAGACAATAGTCACATTTTATTACCACGAGTATTTACAGTTTCTTACAAAGGTTCTACCGTTAACAGGTCTAGTCTGGGTGTTACTATGTATAATATGCATTTTATGCATGTATTTACAAAAAATTAAAAAAAAAATTAAGTATGTTTATATCCGTTGTCTAGTACCCATCCCATAGTACAAGCTTTGCTTAGTTTGGGATTAGAATCGTAGTGTAAAATGTCCAAGGATATAATTTAGGTATTATTTATTTATTTATTATAAAAAAATATTAATGTTTTGATCTGTTTCCAGGCATCGAATGCGAGGTGATCAACCTGCGGTCGCTGCGGCCGCTGGACTTCGACACCATCGCGCGTTCCATCGCCAAGACGCACCACCTCGTCACCGTCGAGCAGGGCTGGCCGCAGTCTGGTGATTATGCCTTCATTTATTTTGCGTAGACGCCACATATTTTATTATATAGGGTGTGGTTTTGTAAAACAACGTCCATCTCAGGGGTGGTAGTACACATGAAAGTAATTATCTATCTATCTATACAGGGTGGAAACGATAAGTGATCTCACTCGATAATTTCTAAACCATACAAGATATCGAAAAACTGGTTACTGACCCTGAAAGTGCTTTACGAACTCTTTCAAACTGTACCAATAACAGGTTACAGAATAAACTGGAAGTATCTGAAAATTCAATGTTTCCAGCTTCCATACTAAATGTATGCCAACCACACAATATTAAGTGTAATTTTTTAAAATTAAATAATGAACCTAAATAAAACTCGTAAATTAGTTTTAGGCTTTACTTGCTATAAAGTGTTGTATCAAGTATCAAGAGATGAGTGCCATGACTGTGGTAGTACTAAATGTATGGGGGATGGAAACATTGGATTTTTGGATAGATCCAGTTTATTCTGTAACTTAATATTGATACCGTTGGATAGAGCTCGTGAAGCACTTTTAGGATCAGTAACCAGTTTTACGATACCTTCTGTAGTTTTTAATATTATGAGGCTGTACCAAATGTATGGAAGCCGGAAACATTGAATTTTCGGATAGATCCAGTTTATTCTGTAACTTAATATTGATACCGTTGGATAGAGCTCGTGAAGCACTTTTAGGATCAGGAACCAGTTTTTCGATATCTTGTATGGTTTAGAAATAATCGAGTGAGATCACTTATCGTTTCCACCCTGTATAAATAAAAATGAATTGATGTTCGTTAGTCTGATTAAAACTCGAGAACGGCTGGGCCGATTGAGCTGATTTTGGTTTTAAAATGTTTGCCGTAGTCCAGGGTAGGTCTAAACGGTGAGCAAATACGCGCGCGATATTGTTTTTCTGTGACAACAAAATTCCACGCGGGCGAAGCCGCGGGCGGAAAGCTAGTAAGAAATAAAATGTTATTATAGTCTGGTTTGTGAGCACGTAGAATTTTGTCCAATGACCCCAAGCTACCCATCTTTATCGCCCTCGCGTAATTATGTTGCTATTGCGCTCGCACACTCACTGCGGGCGCGCGTCGCACAGTCGCGACAGCAATATAATTACGCGCGAGCGATAATGATGGGTAGCTAGGGGTCATTGAACAAAATTCTACGTGCTCACAGACCGGGCTTTAGTAAAAAAAAGGCGCGTGTTACCGCCCGCACCGCCCCCGCGTGCCCCGCTACACCGAGCACATGCGGCCGCCGCCCCGGGAGAGTGGAGGGACTGACCGATAGCTCGCCCGCGTAATAATATCATTTTCCTGATTTCATGGATTGTTCCATTAATTATTTTTTTTATATTTTGGCATCAGTGTCGTGTATACTAATAATACCACCCCTGAGATGGCGTTGTTTTACTAATCCACACCCTGTAGGTCTAACTATTAACTCAATCAGTGCCTAGGGTGTGGGAGCGGCTCGGGAGGGGTGACATTGATATACAGACGTAAGGCGGTTATCACACTGCGCCGCGCTCCGCCGCGGAGCGCGTGATTTTCATATAAAAAATCACGCGCGCGGACGCGTTGTCAGTGTGAAGTGCCGCGCGTATTTTCTATACAAACTGAGGTACTTGCATACAATGATTAAATCTGTCGACCCGCGCTCCGCGGCGGAGCGCGGCGCAGTGTAATAACCGCCTTACAGTACATACGCATCTGAATGAGATTTGAAGTTTCGTTGACGTTAGATAATACAATATCCTCCTGTGCCGCTCCCATACCTCAGGCACGACTCAGTTAAGCGCATCTACCCAGGTGTCATAAAACACAATGGCAAAAATATCGAAATCTAGTTTCGAGTTGCCTTTGGTGGCGCTAGTGTCGCTAATGAGGGCTATCGTTTTTATACTTAACAGTTGGCACCCCTGGCGATTGACAGGACCTTACTCTGGCGCCTACACTACAGTGGCGCCATCTTGATCAGTGCCCTCATTCAGGTGTGCTTACTAACTAGTACTCAAACAGGAAAAGACAGACAACTCTGACTTTTAGTAATTATAAATACAAAGGAAAATCTTTTTCTTTTTATTTATTTACTAGCTTTCCGCCCGCGGCTTCGCCCGCGTGGAATTTTGTCTGTCACAGAAAAACTTTATCGCGCGCGTCCCTGTTTCAAAAACCGGGATAAAAACTATCCTATGTTCTTTCCCGGGACTCAAACTATCTCTATGCCAAATTTCATCAAAATCGGTTGCGAGGTTTAAGCGGGAAAGCGTAACAGACAGACAGAGTTACTTTCGCATTTATAATATTAGTTGGGATTTATTGTGTCTCCAGGCATCGGCGCGGAGATCTGTGCGCGCGTGATGGAGTCGTCTGCCTTCTTCGAGCTCGACGCGCCCGTGTGGCGCGTGACTGGAGCCGACGTGCCCATGCCCTACGCGCGCTCGCTCGAAGCGCTCGCTCTACCACGCCCTGCCGACGTCACCGCCGCTGCCGCCGCCGTGCTCAGCAACAAGTATGTACTGCTGCCTGCACCGCACGCTCGTGAGCCTACTGTGCCCATTCCGAAGTACCAAGTATGCAGCTAAAAAAAACAACTGGTGGCTGAACCGCACGCTCGTGAGCGCAGCCCCACGCCGCTCGCTCGAGGCGCTCGCTCTACCACGCCCTGCCGACGTCACCGCCGCCGCCGTGCTCAGCAACAAGTACGTAAATAAATAATCTATACAGGGTGGAATTTTGTAATGCCACCTGGAGGGAAAGTACTTTTAATATTGTAGATAGAAAATTTTACTCAAAGAAAACATTCCTTTATTTTTGAAAACAAAGAGAACTCCATTCAAAGATTTTTGAAAATTTTACGAAAATTCACTATCATACCATACAATTTTTTGTAAATAATTAAAATAATTTCATGGTTTTCCTTTCATTTAATTTATCAAGTTTGTTAGAGAGATTTCATCCATAAACTTAGCCCTAACGATCGATGCAATAAAAATACAGGGTGTAATTTTTAACAAATTTTAGTTCGTTCGATTCCCGGGTGTGGCATGCAAATTTATGGAAATCTTTAAATGCAATTCTATTTCTTTTCAAAAATAAAGAAATGTTTTCTTTGAGTAAAATTTTCTATTTGCATTATTAAGAGTACTTTTCCTCCAGGTGGCATTACAAAATTCCACCCTGTATAAATAAAAATGAATTGCTGTTCGTTAGTCTGAATAAAACTCGAGAACGGCTGGGCCGATTGAGCTGATTTTGGTTTTAAAATGTTTGTCGTAGTCCAGGGTAGGTCTAAACGGTGAGCAAATAAGGAAAAATTGCAATGGCTTATTTATTGCCTTTAAGGCGGAACAGAGTTCGCTGGGTCAGCTAGTAATTAATAAATAAATATCCTTAGAAATTTTACACTACGCTTCTAGTCCCAAACTAAGCAAAGCTTGTACTATGGGTACTAGACAACAGATATAAAACATACTTAAAATACTTTTTTTTTTTGTAAATACATACTTATTACACATAGAAAACACCCAGTCCAATACAAACAAATATGTTCATGCACACAAATGTTTGTACTGTGCGGGAATCGAATCCGCTACCTCCGGAATAGTAGTCCGTTTCGAACCACTACACCAAACGGCCGACAAAGTTCGTACTGCTGCCTGCACCGCACGCTCGTGAGCTCAGCCCCACGCCGCTCGCTCGAGGCGCTCGCTCTACCGCGGCCTGCTGACGTCACCGCCGCCGCCGTGCTCAGCAACAAGTACGTACTGCTGCCTGCACCGCACGCTCGTGAGCCTACTGTGCCCATTCCGAAGTACCAAGTATGCAGCTAAAAAAAACAACTGGTGGCTGAACCGCACGCTCGTGAGCGCAGCCCCACGCCGCTCGCTCGAGGCGCTCGCTCTACCGCGGCCTGCCGACGTCACCGCCGCCGCCGCCGCCGTGCTCAGCAACAAGTACGTACTGCCGCACGCTCGTGAGCCTACTGTGCGCCATTCCGTAGTACCAAGTATGCAGCTAAAAAAGAACAACTGGTGGCTGAACCGCACGCTCGTGAGCGCAGCCCTATGCCGCTCGCTTAAGGCGCTCGCCTTGCCGCGTTTAGCAACAAGTACGTAAACCACTGATGAATGATTTGCCTAAATCTCGCGCTAAGCCTACTGTGCTTTAAGTGTATTTATTACAATTTTTCTGCTATTACATTAATACACTCGTCAATGGATAACACACAGTACTTACTCGTTACCTAACTGTGGCTTAGTTTAACAAAGCTTCCATGCCGAAGTGAATTGCCCTGGGACGAAAACGCCGCTGTACCCAGCAACAAGTATGTAACTAGAACCCGAACCGCACGATCGTGAGCTCAGGCCTTACCATGGTGAAGTGAAACACCCTGGGACGTGTTCGGCAATAAGAATTAAGCACGTACCTGGCGCCTAGACCTCACGCTCGTGAGTTCAGCCTTACTGCACCTCAAGCCGCGTTTTTACTAGGAAATATTTTACGGAGACTTACACATTGTAGTATGTTTCATATTGGACGCGACCACCGTGCTCGGCAACAAATACGTTACTAACGAACGTGAGCTCAGTCCTAATGCGTTGTTGTCCATGTTGGTTTCCGGCATGAGCACTGTGGAGACATGGCCGTCGTCACTACGCTCAGCAATAAGTGCTTAACTAAAGCCCTAACGTACTAGAAACATAGGTAAATGAAAGATTAAGATTTAAAGACTGTTAATTTGTATATTTTATTTAACTTGTTGTTATTAACGTCACCTACTAAGTTATTTAAAACTACAATTGCCTTTGGTTTACATTATGTTTTGTCAGCGACTCCACTTCAGATTGCAATACTTGCTCTTTCCTAAAATGTTCTGCTATTTCTAGTAGCGTTTTATCTTTGGTCTCGGGCAAATATTTGCACGCAATTACTATCAGGATCGTTGAGGTGATCGCGAAAAAGAGAAAAGAGCCGTCAGTGCCGAACCATTTCATAATACTCGGGGCGATCTTCAGACTGATCCCCAAGATTAATTTAGTGAAGAACGCCCCTATACACAAACAGAAGCTCCTAAACCGTATAGGCAACAGTTCACCGCCAATGGACGAAGACATAATCAACGGCCCGCAGGCTATGGCCAACGAAAACGCCATCAGCAATGCCACAGAAACATATCCGTTCTCAATTATCACGCCAAATCGAATCATGTACAAGTAGGCGGATATTATGAATAGAAACGTTGTAGCTATGGACGTTGCTCCCAATAACATGGTCCGCCTTTTCAATACTCTAGTTAGACCACATCCAGTGTACATCCCCAAAACGGTAATTCCGTCCAATACTAACATTCCTATATGGGCTGTGGACTGGCTACCTGTAATCTTTTTTAAAATATCAATAGAATAAATGGTGAACACCAATTTCCCTGACATGTGGTACATGCTGTGCATCAGAAAGGTTAGAGCGAGCGGCTTATACGTCTCTGGCTGGCAAACAGCAGAAGAGTAGATTTTAATATATTGGAGCAACGATTTTTTGGGCTTGCTGCAACTTTTGTATTCCCTCTGAACGGCTATCAAAGATTCTAATTCCTTTACCGACTCGTCGCCGGCTCCCTTCAACCAGCGATGAGACTTAGCGCATATATCGTACTTCTCCTTTTTCGCCAGCCAGTAAGGCGACTCGGGCATCACAAGTATGATAATAAAGACATACACGTTACAAAGGACGCCGAGTAAGCCTATGTATTTGTACGGGAAGTATATTCCTACAGCGTTGGCCACCCAGATGCCCCAAAAGAAGGAAGCAGACTTGATGGTGATGAACAGGCCACGGTATTTGGGGGTGGTGCATTCTGTGAGAAGAAGTAGCATGGTAGAAGTCTGGCTAGCGGCCGTGGCTCCGTGGATGACCTGGCTGACCAGCACTTGTACCGCGTCCCGGCTGAAGAAGAGAACGGCGAACGCCACACACGCGTTGGTAGCTTGCAGTGATATAGTCTTTCTGAGGCCAAATTGGTGCGCGGAAATGGTCAGTACAAAAACCCATATCATCCCGATGTAGCCGACGATGGATGCTGAAAAAAAAGTTGGGACACTGTTAACGGGCTTATATTATTCTCAAAGACTAGCATACAGTAAACTCTTGCATAAAACGTTCTGAAAACGGTCATATATTAATGAATTCACTTTTTATTTATTCTGGACAGTTGGGCTTTTCCACCAAGGGTGCTCTAAGTGGCATTACAAGGCTGTGACGTGTTAATCTTCATTTACCTAGGTTCGCTCAGTCGTTTGGCGTTTCGTTACACCATATTGTTAATGACATTGAGCATACATTTTTTTAAAGGGTAGTATTTAAACGAGTGACTGTAATTTATGTTGTAAGTGTCAAAAATAATTAATGTGGGCTAAAGAATTACTAAGTGAGCGACTGAGTGCGAGTGACGAAAAATCAAAAGAACAGCAACTTACAAAAGAAAATTGAGTTCCTTAAAATACAAAATGAGAAGCTTCATAATATTTGAGCGACCTAATATTTGATTGAGTGTCAACGTTAGGTCCTGCATTTTTTTCAATATTTGGCAAATGCTTTTTTTATACTGAGCGGTATTTTTAACTTTAATGAAGTGTTTCGAATGCAAGCAATGTAGCGAAAAAAATAAATCATTNTTATAGGTCCATGAATCAAACTAGTAATTCTTGAGATTAGCGCGTTCAAACAAACAAACAAAAAACTCTTCAGCGTTTTAATATGAACTTGTTGGTGTTGATTTTTGGCGTTGAACCTTAGACCAGGCATACGGCTAGGCAACGTAGTCGTGCAGGAAGATACAAGGAAGAGGGGCAGCCACAGTAGGTAACACAGAGTCGTTCAGGTGAGTGCCAGGTGCAGCAACCGCAGTTAAGGAACGGCTGGGACGAACAAGGATAGGCGCATCCAGCTCGTAAGCCTTGATAGGGTTACACTGGTTGAGGCGCTCCTTTTCAAGACTTGGAAGCCTGCGGGTAACGAGCCTTTTGACGTGGGAGAGGGTCATTAATTATACACATTTTCTCCTTTGCCGAACATTTGCACGAGAACGGTTTGTTCAAAACATATAAATTTGGTCTTATTTAATGCAGGATTAAATGCCCTTTAACCGTCAGGAAGACCACTTTTCGATAGGGTAATTCCTTTACGCGGTATAACCGGAAAACCGAAAAAGCGCCCCTTTCGGGGGCCCCCACCACTTAAGCACAACTCCGTCGAAGTCGAAAACCTAGGAGAGTTTTTATGGGCAACTAATGAAGCCATTAAGGGACTAAAATCTTTAGTACGAATTATTTCCGATTTAATTCATTTTTGTGTTTAATTCTACTGGCCTACTAGTCCCAAAGTATGGCTTGTATTTACTATGGGTACTAAATAACGGATGTACTTACCAAAGTAAAATAACTTCATTTTCAATAACGGAAAATACCTTTGAGCACTTCACAATGTGATTAATAACTATCTGTTTTCATAGTTGAACTGCTTTTATATTGCTAGAGGCCGAAAAACAATACCCCAACCTTCTTGCTTTTTGCGTCACGCATTAAAAATAAATGAAACTTATGTAAATATGTACAGGTGTTGGTTTTCAATCAAAAAGGTTTTATTACTTTAAGGCTGGGTTGCACCATCTTATTTTAATTTATTTATTTATTTATTTATTTATTTATTTTTGGGAAACATACAGTTACAATATAATTTAACTTAGGTGCAGTAAGAAAACACATAAACCAATTAAGTTTCCACAGTTAAATATACACATAAAGTTGGGCAAACCATTATGAATAAAATTTTGTTGTGAAAAATATAAACGTATATAAAACAAAAGTTAACTTTGACAAACCTCAAAAAATCTGTCAAACTCCATACAAAAAGCACCGGTTACCGTTGAAGTTAGGTGGTGCCACTCAGCCTAAGAATTTCGAATTCAAATCTGCGAGCTATGAATCATTTTGGCAATAATACTGAATAGTAAGTTTTTTTTTTTTTATGTGACAGGAGGCAAACGAGCAGACGGATCAAGTTAAATATTACTAAGCATTTATAAAACCATTTTCTATGTAGCTGGGCATATTTCGATGGCTCCTACGTATAAAGGCGAAACTGCCACTTACGCCTGTTTCCAATTATTTAAGCAATGATTTCACTTTGCTCTAATCTATAACATCAATAAGAAAAGAAAAATTGTTTCCATTAGATACAAAATAAAATTTTAGACAAATAGGCGTATGTGCAAAACTACTTGCTCTCAGAACTGACGGCCGATGGGGAAGGACCTCAGATCATAGAAGGGAATAGATGTGTAACGGGGGCGTGGCGCGTGTCTCCGCGATATGCCCAGAAACGAACATCGCCCGCGAAGCGAGGTTAGTCGCGATTCACTCATACTGAGGAAATGTTCTCCGATATTTTTGCAAAATGCCGAACTGTGGTGTCGTTACGTGCAGTAACAGAAGTGAAACGAAGAACTACAAGAACAATGGAGTCACTTACCACATGTAAGTATTGCAAATCCATTGGTATTTTGCTTATAAATAAAAAAAACTAAACATTTTTACGAACAAATTCAGTGCCGCCATATTTACTGCGATATCGCGATTAGTAGTGATAAAATTTTACACACGTTGTACATTGACGATCTAGTGCAGCAACCGCTTTATGTCATGTTTTGCCACTGCGCAATGTATTTTATTGACTCCGATATCCACTGTCGCGTGAAAATACACGGTACGGCCGCATGTGCCGGTCGTAAAATAGTGCAGGGATCGTGTTCGAATGCGGTTGCCTATTATCGATAAACAGAAGTAAATTATTATTTTCTATTTTTTAATTGATTAAATATTTTGGTCTTATTCCAGATTTCCAAAAAATCCGACTATTAAAGAAAAATGGATGGCCGCTACGGGCAGAGGTCCTAACTGGTTTCCTGTCCAAAGAAGCGTAATATGTTCGGCACATTTTCAGGAAAAATGTTTTCAACCTCTTAATAAAAGCCGTAGACTTTTCGAATGGGCAATACCTACTTTGAAGATTTGTCATATTGCTTCATCGGTAAGTTTACCATTTATGCCGTATCAGGAGCTGGAGTGTGCTTTATTATTAAACAGTTTTATGTATTATTCTTGAATTATAAAAAAGTTAGCTTTCGTATTCTGTAAAAATAAGCAAGCAAGTTATAAGTGAAGTTGCTAGTAAATTGTTGGTCTTATTTAAGTTAAATAAATAATAATAAATAAGCTGTATAATTTTTATTAATATATTTATCACATTTTACATAAATCTATCTTTTACATTTTATTGGTTTCTATAATAGTATCCTTATGTTTTTAGGATTGTTCAAAGCCTATACCTACGTTAAGACAGACTCCCGAATCAAACACTGATAATTTAGCGAGGAAAAATAGCACAGTAAGTTTCGAAGCATTTTAATCAATTTTTTAACGAATAAATTGACGGCATTTCAAATTTAAGCAATTATTAATAAAAAAGAAAAGTATTTGATAGTCATACACATTACTTTACTTAGTTAGGCGTTTTTCAGATTTTGAATTACCGATTTTGTTTCAGCCGGACTTGACATGCGTGACTTGTGGTCAAAAAATAAACCCAATAAATGCAAATCAAGATAATCAGGTACCATTTTTAAACCCAGTTTTTATGTAGGTATAGTAAAAGTATAATTATGCTCTTTGACGACTTATATAAGTTAAAGCATTTATCATAGATTAATTTTCGATGTAGAAACAAAAGGTTCTGTTGAGTTTTTTTATATTGCATTCAACTGTACACTTATTGTTGAATGTTTGCATTCCTGAGGCCCAAGTAAGGTAACTTAACCATTATTAATTGCAATTTTTCATTGTTATTTTCAGACAGTTCAGACTGCAACACACATCACTGCATCAACGTCTTCTTGTTCAGGTGTCGAGATACTTACATCTGTCCCCAAACGATCTTGCTCACCCGAAAATAAAATTAAAGTTCGTATTTTATTATATTACGATAATATTTTAGTAAGTTTATTTGAGATACCATACCATACTTACATACGAAAGGGGTTATAAAATATAATTGATTATAGTTTATATTAAAATTATCTCAGCGACAGAGGCCTTTATCAGAACTGAACCCCACTTTCCGTAGTTTGGTTTTTGTTTTAATATTCAGTTTGTTAGAGTTGCGTAGGTATTTATTTATTTTTTTGTTTCAGCTATCGGACGAGTCTAGCGATATTTTTGAGACACCGCGAAAACTTAAAATGCGACAGAAAATTGAAAAATGTGAAAACATGTTGAATAAACAGAAGGCCAAAATTAAGTTGCTTCAGAAGAAAAGCCGCCGCTATAAGAAACGAATATCAAAACTTGAAGATATATTGAAGGAACTCAATGAAAAAAACTTCGTCAACGCAGAGCAATCAGCACATTTAAATGATTTGGGTATTAATGATTTAATCCAACGTTTTAGTCAAACACAAAAAACAGGCCAAAATGTAGCAACTAAATATTCGCCGGCTTTACGAGCTTTTGCCTGTACACTTCATTTCTATTCGCCAAAGGCATATGAGTATGTAAGGAAAAAATTTCACACGTGTCTACCCCATTCAAGAACATTAAAAAAGTGGTATCAAACAGTTAATGCCGAACCGGGTTTCACCCACGAATCCTTTAAAGCTCTAAAACAAAAATCTGAAGCCTCAGAACACAAATTGCTTTGCAATTTGGTAATGGACGAAATGGCAATCAGGCAGCGTGTGGAATGGGATGGAAAAAAAATGCATGGCTATGTTGACGTGTGCAATGCAACAAAATCAGGAGATTATTTGCCTGAAGCCAAAGAGGTTTTAGTGTTTTTGGTTACTGCTATTAACGCACCATGGAAAATACCGGTTGGGTATTTTTTTGTAGCCGGTGTAACTGCAGAACAGCGTGCAACCCTTGTGCTACAGTGCTTAGAGCTACTTGAAGAAACGGGTATTCAAATAACATCATTGACTTTTGACGGTTGTCCGTCAAATATGAGCATGGCGAAGCAACTTGGATGTTCCTTCGACACTAACAACCTTAAAACGGGGTTCGAACATCCAGTCACGCATAAACTTGTCTATATAATGCCTGATCCGTGTCATATGCTAAAATTGTTGAGAAATGCCTTTGAAGCATATGGCACGTTTCTTGACGGTTCAGAAAGAATTTTAATGTGGAGTCATTTAAAAAACTTAAATGACATCCAAGAAAAAGAAAACTTGCATTTAGCTAATAAACTAAGGAGAGGACATATATTTTTTAAAAACCAAAAAATGAAGGTTCGTTTGGCGTCACAATTGTTCAGTAACAGCGTAGCGGATGCTTTAAAGTTTTGTGCACAGCGTAATATAATTAGTACAACTGACGGTCGAGGACTAGATGGGACCATTGAGTTCATCAGAAACGTTAATAATTTATTTGATTGTTTAAACTCCAGGAATATGGCCCAATATGAGTATAAGAAACCTCTATACTCCGGAAACAAAGAAAAAATCTTTGATTTTTTTGATCAGATGGAAGATTATATAACATCTCTGAAGATCAATAATGCAGAAAAGACACAAGTGGTGAAATCGGAAAGAAAAACCGGATTTATAGGCTTCTTAACGTGCATAAAGAGTATAAAAGCTCTTTACAATGAGCACGTTCAAAACAATAAACAGTTGCGGTATATTCCCGCCTACAAACTGAGTCAAGACCATTTGGAACTTATGTTTGGGAATATACGAGCACACGGTGGGTGTAATACCAACCCCACAGCGAGACAGTTTCAAGCTATTTACAAAAAACTAACGGTAAAAGCGGAGCTCCGGGACGTGGACACCGGAAACTGTCAATCACTAGAAAACATTGACATACTAACATGTTCATCTGTTTCCAAACAAATAAATATGTCAATAGAATCGCGTTACCTTGATATGGATAATCCTGAGGCGGATGACGACATAAGCCAAATATATGAACAGGCTGTTTTTGATGAGGAGGTTGATGTACTCGTTAAAGACATATCAGAATTTGGCTCTCAAGCTGTAGCTTACATTGCAGGCTTTGTAGTCCACGCTTTATTAAAGGCTCTGAAATGTCAAACCTGTATTGGGGCTTTGATTGCAGATAAAATTCAAGACAAGCATCACGGGTTTATCACATTAAAAGACAAAGGTGGACTGATGTATCCTTCTCATGAAGTCATCACCATATGCATGAGAATGGAAGTGGTAATAAAATCAGCTGTTCTTTCAGATCAAAAAAAGCTGAATGTGACCACAAAAAATATCAAAGAACAGCTGATATCTAAAGCTCTGCCCCATTTTATTGGTTTGGACTTATTTAAAGACATACAATTTCACCAATTTGAGCAATCGCCATTGACAAACCATTTAATTTTACTTACCAAAGCGGTAATGGAGAAATATTTAAATATCAGACTTCATTATCTCACAAAAAACGCAGCACCCAAATTATCTAAACGACAGGTATTGAACAAATATTTACATTTTACGGGGCAGTAAATCAGCCAGATTACTAAATCCTTGCTATGTTATTATTAAATAATAATTAATAAAAATATGAATAAAAAATAAGTTGTATTTTAATTGTTTTATTAAAAAAAATATATAAATACACCACACTTATCAAGTTACCACTGTTGACATTTATTCACGAAAGAAGGTAAAAAGTTATAATAGGGGATAGCAGTGTGCTTCATCTTCTCATCTTCCTCGTCTGCTTCTTCTCCTCGTCTGCTTCTTCATCTCGTCGTCTACTTCTTCTTCTCGTCGTCTTCATCTTGTCTTCTTCTGCTCGTCGTCTTCTTCTCGTTTCTTACTGATAGTATTCACTCTGAACGAAAAGAGATGTTCCGAAAAAAATCCCAGAATCAATTGAGACTAAATGGGTATCAAGAGTTTCATTATACTTAATGCACATTCCACCCCACCGAAAGCTTAATGTCGAAACAATGTTGTATAAAAGTTATAGACAGACAAATTTTGAATGAAAAAATCATGAGTTGCTTGCGATTTTAAAGTTTTTACAAAAACAATTATAATAGTAGAAGTGATTAGTAATTGTCAACTAAGTAATTACTACAAGATCTAGTTGAAAGCAGGGTTCGAAATCATCAGGATAATTATCATGATAATTAGCGTGATAACTATCATTGATTTATTATCCTTTCGAACCCTGATTGAAAGCCTATTAGGCATTATTTTTGATAAACAAAGGCGGTACGAAGTTCGCCATTATTAAAAAGTTAATGCACGGTAGTACTTAATAATAACTATAATGATCCTATAATGAACCTCATTGATTCTGAGTTTTTCGTCCATACAAAATGGAACTAACTCCTTTATGCAAAAATCGTTAAAGAACATATTATTAATAATAACGTACCTATAATAATAAAAAGGTTTTCATACATAAGCATTTTTTAAACCAATTTCGAGCCTTGCCCCCACGATTTAAAGTATCGATATCTTATCGGCTCCATTTTATCTTTCTTCTCCCTAATTGCTTTTTTCAAAGTGTGCGTCACGTCACGCGGCCATTGATTGGCCATAAGGCACGCCTTCTGGCCAATCACAGCACTTTTAAGCCGGTTGCACATGTTGTCGTAGACTCTCAGTCGCTTTGTTTTTACACACTTGAATGTGTGTGTGGGAGCTGTGGTGGGGGAAATGTGGGGACACTGGTTCTCGTTGTAGTTACGCGCGACTTCATATCTATTCTCTTTCTATGATCTGAGGGAAGGACGGTTTTGAAATGGACGCCACGTTGGACGTCCTCCCATAAAGTGGACAGGTGACCTCATGGAGGTTGCAGTAAGGTGCTGCCATCTGGCCGATCTGGAAGATCTCATTGGGGGAGGCCTATGGCACAACCTATGACCAGCAGTGTGTCATAAGTGCCACTCCACTAGTGGTCTAAATAGAATAAAATATTTTTGATTTTTATTTTGTAAAAATGTATACAGGGTGGAATTTTGTAATGCCACCTGGAGGGAAAGTACTCTTAATATTGTAGATAGAAAAATTATCTCAAAGAAAACATTCCTTTATTTTTGACAAGAAATAGAACTGCATTCAAAGATTTCCAAAAATTTGCTTGCTACACCCGGGAATCGAACCAACTAAAATCTGTTAAAAATTACACCCTGTATTTTTATTGCATTGGTCGTTAGGGTTAAGTATAAGGATGAAATCTCTCTAACAAACTTGATAAATCAAACGAAAGGAAAACCATGAAATCTTAAATTATCTTAATCAGTTACAGAAAATTGTATGGTATCGTAGTGAATTTTCGATTTTTTTTTTAAAATCTATGAATGCAGTTCTCTTTCTTTTCAAAAATAAAGGAATGTTTTCTTTCAGTAAAATTTTCTATCTATAGTATTAAGAGTACTTTCCCTCCAGGTGGCATTACAAAATCAAAGACTGGAATATTTCACTTTGGAAATCGATATTTACTATGTAGGTACTTACAGCCTAACCTGACTTACAAACTAGTAATGCTTGTTTTTATTTTATTTTAATTTAAATTTTATTTATTTCATTTTTATCATAGCGAATAGCTTAGCGCCAGTTTTAAAATATGTTATTATACCCCACTGCTGGGTGAATTCTAAGAGACCGTGGCAAATTGTTCCATTTGTTCGTATGACATTCCAAAATTTGTTACCTACGGACGTCTACGCACGTGTATTTTATTTAATTTGCAATATAAACTTACGGATATAGTCTTGTAGCTTTCCGTCCGCGGCTTCGCCCGCGTGGAATTTTGTCTGTCACAGAAAAACTTTAAAATAAAAATAAAAATAAATCTTTTGGACAATTTCACACAGCGCCAGCTAGCCCCAACTTTATCGCGCGCGTCCCTGTTTCAAAAACCGGGATAAAACTATCCTACTATGTCCTTTCCCGGGGCTCCAACTATCTCTATGCCAAATTCCATCAAAATCGGTTCAGTGGTTTAGACGTGAAAGCAAGACAGACAGAGTTACTTTCGCATTTATAATATTAGTATAGATACAATCGAGTATACCTAATGGGTATTGTTTTGTCTTTCAGTATTGTAATGACTTTCCTTACAAGTGTAAATGATACATTAGACCTTTCCTTAAACGTTTATTTATTGATACAAATGCTCAGTTCATGTTTCTTGACTTGTTCACAATTAAAACGAGCTGTCACTTCCACAAGCGCCTTTATGCTTCAACTTAGCGCCTGCGCATCCCAATCTGTGAATAAGAAATAAGTATTGATATAAAAGGGAATCTGTCCGGGTCACCAACAAAAGAGAGCGTATAAGGCGACTAATTAAGAGATGAACAAAGTACTGAAATACTTTGTTTTTAAATACTCATAATTCCAGGGTCACATACGGGGCATGTCTTTAACCCAGATTCTCCTGCAATATTTTACTGTGTCCAAACTTAATAATATTTGTATATGAGGCTTAAAAACTGACAAAATAATAACATGGGAAAACAAGAAAAAAAAATCTCTCGTGAAAATTCGGAAAAGCGGTGTCGGTTATAAGCAACACTAGTTAAATGCACTACTATCAGGTATGCATTGCATAAAGAAAACAGTCCTTTATTTTATTTTTGTCGGCCGTTTGGTGTAGTGGTTCAGAACGGACTACTATGCCGAGAGGTACCGGGTTCGATTCCCGGCCGGGCAGAAATTGAAATGATAAATTTTAATTTCTGTGACGGGTCTGGGTGTTTTCTATGTATAATATGTATGTATTTACAAAACAAAAGTATTTAAGTATGTTTATCCCGTCGTCTAGTACCCATAGTACAAGCTTTGCTTAGTTTGGGACTAGAGGCGCAGTGTAAAATGTCCAAGGATATTTATTTTTATTTATTTATTTATTTGGCTTTTGTGACAATAATAAGTAATATTACTTTTTTACTTAATATCTTTAGTTCATCATCATCTCAGCAACAGGACGTCCACAGCTAAACTTAGGCCTGCCCCAATGATTTTCATAAGGACCGGTTGGTAGCGGCATCCAGCGCCTTCCTGCTTGTTATGAGGTCGTCGGTCCACCTTGTGGACGTCGCAAGCTGCGCCTTTCAGTACGTGACCTCCACTCCAGAACATTGGCCGTCAGTTCTGCGTGTTATATCTTTAGTTACGAACACTTAGATTTGTCTCCAGTGGGATTAGAACCCACAACTGGCGATGATGTTCAATACATAAGCCATAAGGCCAAATACCAGCACCAGAGTCAGAACTATATGTAAATATATAAAATCCAGAGTATATACTAACTGGCACGAGTTGCTGTAAGTCTGTCCATTGGTGGCACACACAGGGTCGAACACAGCCGGGCAGATGCAGGCTGCGTCAGCCGTCATCATGCTTGCGATGAACATCACCAGGGTCAGAGCTGAAAGTCGATATGTGAATTAATATATGCGCTAGAAATGGGGAGGTATGAGATAAAACTATCTGACGGTCCAATCATCTGTCTTCCAAAGCATGTCATCATCATCATCATTTCAGCCATAGGACGTCCACAATACTGACTGCTGAACATAGGCCTCCCCCAATGCTTTCCATGTTGATCGATTGGTAGCGGCTTGCGTCCAGAGAAGGAGGTCAATCGTCGAATCCAACTCGGCTGGGCAGCGTTCGGGAAACTACGCAATATCTTTTCGTCCAAAACACCTCAGTTCCTGAAGACGAAAGTCTACACCCAATGTGTGTTACCTGTAATGACTTATGGCTCGGAAACGTGGCCTCTCACTAAGTATAGGCCTTGTACAGAAGCTCAATGTATTTATTAATTAGAAATAAATCGCGCTCAACCATTTAAATAAACAGTATGAGGTATTTTAATCATCTAAATTTAATTCTACTCATAGGTGTCGTAATCTTAGGTACTTACCTCGTATTCATTTGAAATATATACATAATTTTTACCGATAAGGAAGTTTTTCAAATACCTACCACGTTACCAATATTTTCGGGGATTACCCTACACGCACACAAAATCAAGAAATTCTCACTCTACTTATTGTTTGTATTTAACAAGATAATAAGTTTGCGTAACTTTTTTATCAACCGAATTGTTGTATTCTGGCAGTTGAAGGTTGAAGGAAGTGACAGCCAGTTCCTCTGTGGTTGAGGATTTCGGATGAAGCTCGCGTCTTCGGCCTGATCATCACTTCAAAAGTCAAAATTTCTTTATTTGTTTAGACTAATAAATAGTTCTTACAGATCGTCATTTTGCTCTTAAGGAGCCTCTACATGTCTCATAATCTTTTTACCCTACCAGCCACCTTCCCATTAGAGAGAGAGATTCCTCGTCGTGGATAAGAAAAAAAACTGCATGTACTCACCATAGTAAAATAGCTTCATTTTTAAATCGTAAACAGGAAAAACCTCGTGCGCAGTTCACAATGTGAGTGATGTAGTCTTCTTAGCGTATTTGCTTTTAAACTCTAAGGAGCAGGAAAACCTACCATATTTACCTGGTGACTCTTTGTAGGTACTTTTTGTCAATTTGTCATTATTGTTAAGCAATATAGGGTTGCGTAAAGAATGTACGCAATTTTTTCTGTAAATAGGCTTTTTTTAAAGCGCTTGGAGAGTACTTTTAATACTGTAGATAGAAAATTTTACTCAAAGAAAACAATCCCTCTATGTTTGAAAAGAAAGAAAACCTGGATGGAGAGTACTTTTAATACTGTAAATAGAAAATTTTACTCAGAGAAAATATTTATTTATTTTTTAATAGAAAGAGAAGTGCATTCAAAGATATCGATTTTTTTTTTCGAAAATTCACCACCATACCTACCAGACAAGGTACAATTTTTTGTAAATAATTAAAATAAAGATTTCATGGTTTTCCTTTCATTTGATTTATCAAGTTTGTTAGAGATATTTAATCTCATACGTAGCCCTAACGATCGATGTAATGAAAATACGGGGTGAGGCAAGCAAATTTTTAGAAATCAATGAATGCAGTTCTATTTCTTTTCTTAAATTAAGGAATGTTTCCTTTGAGTAAAATTTTCTATCTACTTTCCCTCCAGGTGGCATAACAAAATTCCACCCTGTATATAGCGAATGAATATGGACAAAACAAAGCTTATGTCCCATGTCCAGGTTGCGCCCTACCCAGTTTCGGTTAGGAACTCAATCCAATGTATGTCTGTCTATACCTCGGACAAACGATTCAGCTAGGTAGGTCTTTCGATAAAGAGGTCAATCGTCCAAAATACCTCGGTGCCTGAAGACTAAAATCTACAACCAAGGTGTGTGAAAGTGATGACTTATGGTTCGGAAACATGGCCTCTCACTATAGGCCTTATAGAAGCTCAAAGTTGCACAGCGCGCTATGGAGAGGTTATGCTCGGTGTTTCTTTACGAGATCGAATCAAAAATGAGGAGATCCGTAAATGAACTAAAGTCGCTGATATAGCCCGACGGATTGCGACTGCATTGGGCAGGGCACATAGTACGCAGAACTGACGGTCGATGGGGCAGCAGGTTCTGGAGTGGAGGCCGCGTACCGGGAAACACAGCGTGGGGCGTCCACTCACAAGGTGGCCCGACGACATCATAAAGGTAGCAGGAAGGCTCTGGACGCAGGCCGCTACCAACCGGGCAACATGGAAAGCATTGGGGGAGGCCTATGTTCAGCAGTGGACGTCCTATGGCTGAGATGATGATGATGAGCTATAGTATTTTCTCTTAAATATAAATAAATATTAAATAAATAATCGAACAAATTAATACACCTTAATGATTTTGTGTTATTATATCTTAACACGGCTTATCAGCTTAGTGCAATCTTATAAATGCTTACAACTATTCATGGTGAATTCATCTTTATAAAGATGTCCCAAAATTAAAGAAACTTTTGAACTATTTTGTCAGAATTTTGATATCATCATTTTATTTTTTTTAATTTTCATACAAAATAAATTTTTATAAAATCCGATTTGTATGAAAATTAAAATACTTAATTAAAACGAAGATATACATTTTCTGACTTCACCATATCATTTATATGCCCATGTTAACATGGGCTAGTGCCGGCTCATATACCCATTTACCTAACACCCTGTATAAAACATAGGTTTTGGCCTCTTGATTGCATTGTTTTTAACCGACTTCAGTTGGCATGTTGTTTGTATTATTTATGTAGGTACCTACACCGATTACGCCGAGTCATTTGGTCCCATAAAAATTTCATCTAATTTGATTGAGTAAGTAGTTATTTTATGAGCATTTTTAGTTTCCCGAACGTCGTAATTTGCTCGGTATCATCGTAATTCGTGACAATTATGTCGTCCAGATATCTTACTATATGTACATACACCGATTAGGTACTTAAAGATTTGTAGTCCGATTTGAGCAATTCTTTTTTATTCGATAGGAAATACCAAAAGGCACACAAAAAGCAAGCACAAAAATCTGTAGTTTAAAAACAACTTATTACAGACACTAAAAAGTAGAAAATAATTTAAAAAAACTGCGTTTGCGTGCCGGTAAATTTAGTAGGTACGTTTCTTGAGCGTGGCATTTGGCAGACTGGCACCGACTCCAAAAATGTCAACCATGGTCATGTATTTGTCCTAATAATTAAAAAACGTAATTATTATTATACTTTTTAGTGGCGGCTAAGTTTTTGAAGTCGGTTTTTTTAAACGCAGTTTTTTTATTGGATCATAAAATACAAATAATAAGGTTATTAATGGAAAACACATCTGGCAAATGGCACGCACGCAGCAACGCCCTCATTTGTCGAAATTTCCCATGACCATTCTGCATAAATGTTGCTGAATTTAGTTGACGCAACGTTGAATCTACTCCTTTTAATGCACGTGTGGTTGTGGACTTGAATTGTCACCGATACTCACGCACTGCTTCGATATTGACATTTCAATGACTTGTTTTTGGAAGAATTGTGTGTTTGGAGTCTCCAACAGATCCTATCTCCCTGAATTTCTCAATCAATCTCTTCACAATTCATCATCATCATCAACAGCCCTTTACAGTCCAATGCTGGACTATGAGCCTCCTCCACTATAGTGGAGGGTTTTGCCATAATCCCCACGCTTGGCAGGCGGTGGAGATCGCAGTTTAAAAGACCGATGTTTTTCAGAGAGCGCTGCTGCCCGTTCTTTGTTTGATGTGTAGTCCCTAAGTCGCCTCTTACGACACCCGCGGGAAGAGTAGGGGTTGGTGACAAATGTATTCTACTCTGCCGTTACCACACGGTATTTGACATCACAATTCACGAAGTTAAAACACAATTTCGACCATATTTTGTATGAAATTTTCGAATTTCGGACGAAGACAGGATGTTCTATCGTGTAACCTTACATTTTTAGTAACCCTAAACTATCAGGTGTCGATTGTTTTATTTTTAGGGTTGTCAACACTAAAAAGTTGCATAATTTTTAAGGGTGTCCCCTTTATTTATTACAGTTCTCTATTAAGTAAAAACTATATTTTGGTATTAAATTGATTCTTTTTGATGTCATTTTCCAAGTATTATTGTTACCTTTAGTTTTGCTAATAAAAAAAAAATAACTCCATTATTAATAAACCGAGATGAAAATCAATAAAGAAACCTTTTTCTTAGACAATTCATTTATTCAATCAGCATTAGGTATTTTTTCGTTTTGCAAGATTATTTTTCGCCAAATTTCACTTTGCAAAAATCTTAGTATTAGTTTCATTTCCCAAATTATTTTTTGGGAACTGTACTTTCCACACCTAATTCATTTGGTCATTTGCAAAATTTTACTTGGTCAAGTATTACTCAAATCAAAGCATATTAAGGCACATGATCATGGTTCTATTGTACAAGAATTTTGCGAATTGAAACATTTGGTTAAATAATATCTGTCTAAGGGCCGATTTTTCAATTGTCGGATAACTTTTAACTGAAGAATAACCTTGTCATTTTGACATATTTCCCATACAAAAACTGTCAATGTGCCAAACTTATTCTTCAGATAAAAGTTATCCGACGGTTGAAAAATCAGCCCTAAATAAAACATGCCCAAACAATAATTTGCTATAATTGAGATTTGGTATAAGATAATATAATATAAATTTGCAATAAGTTGTTTGTAAAATTATTATTTGCCAAAGTCATCGTCTCCGGGTTCTCTGCAAGGGCCTTCGTGCACCATATGTGCGTTGGCGCAGTACAAACTGCAAAAGAGAAATGACATTATTAACATTAAATGACAATGCCAGATTTTGTATGGAAGGTGGCGTCTTTTTTTTTCGCGCGGCCATCGACCAATCCTTGTTTTTTTATTACAAAATAGTGTAATAAACCAAACTTATTATGATATGTATACCTCTAAACTCAGTCTGAACTGAGTAACGAGCATTAGAAGATTGATGATTTTACATAACTACTTACTAGATTTGCATTTAATTTTAATTATTAATTTTTTTATTAAATTTTCTTAGGGGGCCGAGCACAACACCCGCTCGGAAGGAAGCACTAACATTTAGCTTCCTTATTGTGGATAAACATCATATCCCACATTGGTGACCCCGACGTGATGTGAGACATCACCACCATCTTCGGCATCAGCCTCTGCCATCCTCACCATCTCCGCCACTCCGTCATCAGCTCCAGTCTTCAACAAGCCAGCATCTAGCCTTCAGGGACCATCGCAGATCGCAACCGACCTTCCTGGTTCCTCGGCAGCAAGCAACCGTCACTTCACTGGTCACGGGTACAGCTCTGGCCCAGCTCCACGCCCGACCATAGAAGACGCCTCCGCTCACTATCCCGACTCACCGTGGATAGAGCACCGCAACCCGCTCGTCTCGACTCACCGCAGACTTGAGCACACTGGTACTTGTAAGCTCATCACGCACAAACTGCTGAGCTCATCCTGACGTCATCCACCTTCGGTTCTTCCGGGGGGAGTGGTGTGGCGACGCCACTACAAACTAGTAACCAACAGATGGCGCTGTTACTACTTCACTATGGCACACTCCGCCGCTCATACAAACCTGCATCGCGGTGACGGAGTTTTATATCCTGCCAAGTATACATATATAGACAAACCAAGATGGTGTAAATTGGACCTTGGTCCCCGAGCATAACACCCGCTCGGAAGGAAGCACTAACATCTAGCTTCCTTATTGTGGATCAACATCATATCCCACAAGTATAATAAGTCCATTTTTAAATAACTAATATGAGACATATTTTAAAACTCATACTCACTAGCATTCGTTCTCATATGACCATCCATCGCTGCCGCATATGGGGTTATAGTCGCGTACATCACACTCGCATTCACACTTCACTGTCATCAGATTTGCGATGACCAGCAATACAGCGAGGGCTGAAAGCAAATAATCACACCTGATGATACGGGTTAACATGTCCCGACGGATTGGCAAGCTGAAGTGGCAGTGGGCAGGGCACATAGTACGCAGAACTGACGGCCGATGGAGCAGCAAGGTTCTGGAATGGAGGCCGCGTGCCGGAAAACGCAGCGTGGGACGTCCACCCACAAGGTGGGCCGACGACCTGATAAAGGTAGCAGGAAGGCGCTTGATGCAGGTCGCTACCAACCGTGCGATGTGGAAATCATTGGGGGAGGCCTATGTTCAGCAGTGGACGTCCTATGGCTGAAATGATGATGATGATAATGATTATACAGGTTTGAAGTACATTATTGAGAAGATCAGTTAAGTTCGGCTTCCACCAAGGCGGAGCGGAGCAGAGAAATGGTTTGAATAACCAGTCAGATTTCGTTCCAACAATTTCATTCAAACTGAATGACCTTTGATTGTTCGCTGGCCTTGGTGGAAATCGGGCCTAAAACTACGATGTCGTCACCACATTAATAACGAATGCTTAGTCGTTTTAACATTGTGTGTACTATCGGGGAATCGAACCCTTCTGAGTACAGAGAGTCCATTTCTGTAGCCAATGGAACGCACAGGCTTTAAAGATTCCCTCGTTCTAAGGGTTTTTAAAAGAAATAACCCCCCTCGCTCGTTAGATACTATATCTTTTAGTTGGCCGATAGTTGGGCCCGATTTTAATTTTATGAAAAATCGGCCGATACCAAATCGGTGTAATTTGCGCACCTTCATACATTTCCATACTGATTAACAGCCCGACCCAACTATCGACCAACTAAAAGTCGGCTAATACTCCAGCGGCAACAAAAGAACCCGCTTTCCTCGCATCTCAATTTGGCCTTGTACACAAAACTAAATTGCTATGGGCTAATACTTCAAGTTCAGTTATAGAGATTACAAAATTCAATATTTAAAAATATTTAAACAAAATACAATATTTAAAAATATTTCAATCATATACTTCATGTGCACACGCCCACACTGTTTTAACTATCCATTTCCGATTTTGCTCTCGCTCTAATCAAATGGCGATTCTTTGCGATAGAACGAGATGACATGACTTTCAATGGGCAGTTAACACTGTTGGCGATAGTACAATCAAAAACTGTCATTAACAATTAATTAAACAAATAATATCTATACCTACTAATACTTTTAAAGAGGAAATAATTAGATTGTTTGTTTGAAGAGAAATAAATCTCCGAAACTAAGTACTAGACCGATTTAAAAAAAACATTTATTCATTTCATTAGAATAAAAGAAATCTACTGAAGGCTACAAGAAACTTCGAAAAATTTACTAGTATTTCTCCATCATTTTACGCATAGCTGCTACTTCACGTCACATAAAATTTACCGAAGTTCACAGTACTATTGCCAAATAAAATTATTGTCAAACAGGATACGTTTAGAAATTGGAAATGTATTACCATATTTAACAAAATACCACACAACCTTGTCGAATTACCAATAAACAAATTTAAGATACATATAAAAAATACCCTTATGTCCAAAGGGTACTACAAGGTTCGAGACTATATTGATGACAAGGATGCGTGGTCAGTTCAATCTGCACATATTTGATGTACTCCAATTTGTTTATTCTAAGCGTTAGATATTTCCCGGCAATTAGTGGTGACTGAGTTTGTTCCGGCGTTTCTTCTCAGCACTTGCCATATGTTTGTCTCGAAGCACTGGTAGGGCCCAAAAGATAAGGAGACATGTAAAGTGCCCCATAAGGGCTAACTTTTCTTTTTTATTATTTTCTATTTATTTATTTATTTATTTATTTATTTATAATCTGCTTGAAGGCTTACAGAAAGTCCAACGCGCCAACAAGTTATACAATACAGATAATTTATAATATCAATTTCAATATGTAAAATTGTCAAATAATTAAAACGATAAATTAAATAATAGTCAAATAACATTAAAATTAAATACATAAAATAATTAAGTCCAAAATAGAATGTCATACCTAAGACTACTAATAAGAATAAGAGATAAATACATTTATGTCCAGAGATCAATGTCAAAGTTATTCAAAGTTATTACTTACACAAAAATCTATGAATTAATACCATTATTGTACCTAAGCGGTCGGCAAATATGTCGATATCGTGCTGAGCAACTAAGTCCCCGATTAAACGTAATGCGCGGGTAGAAGGCGCGCTCGCTGCGCGAGTGGTGCGCGTGACCGGCCGGATTTTGACACATTTTCTGTTGCGAATGTTATATCTATTACTTCCTGTCTGGTTTTTGTTACGAATGTTGGCGTGTGGCCATTGTTCAGCACCTGTAGACAGTTAGATAGAAGAAAATCGGATAGTAACTCACCTCTCATGTTGGTATCCGAGCTTCCCCAGATGGTATGGTGGGCGTTAGCATCGCATCCCACTATCAGTTCCGACTTTTGTCTTCTAGAGTATTCCAGGACGTTAGTCAGTTCTTCAGTGGGATCTTGCTTATCTCCAGGAAGATATGCCGAGCAGAAGAGTACTTTGGACCTGTTCGGCCCTTTGACTTCTACGTACGCGGTGACAGTATCTTCGCTGAAAAGTTCTGGAACAGGTAAGAAGTTAGTATTTTTGTTAAACACGATACAAGCCCTAGGTTTGCGGCCTTTTTCGCATACAAGAATCTTACCAGCGTTGTTTCAGACCGGCTACCATGGAGTCGGCGTTTATCCATGGTTCTTGAATGAGGGCGATGTCCAGGCCACCTTCGCTGAAGATCTTTTCTATGACCGCAGAGGCTGCGATAGCGTGGAGTAGGTTGGCCTGTAGTATCGCCATCCCCTTTGGGCGTTGAGGTTGGGAGCCGCGGCGCCCTTGTGTGCCCCGCCGCCCTCGGTACGGTCCTCTGTGCTGCCCCCTTCCTCTGGGCGGATGTGCGCCCCTTGTGGTCCCCCTGTTGGGGGGAAACCGCGTTCCCCTTCCCCTGTTTGGGAATGTGGAAGTGGAGGTTGAGGGGGTGGAAGGAGGGTTGACCCGTTGTGGTCCTGTGCGGACCTGCACGGTACCCTCAGGGGGGGTGGTTAAGGATGCGGGTACGGGGGTAGAGGTGGTGGTGGTTGCGGCGGTGGTCGGGGGTTCAGCGGAGGGTTTGGAGTCCTGTATGGGGCCCTTAATTCTGAACTGGACCTTTTTGAAGCCAATGTTGGCCTTTAGGTCCATCATCTTCAGGGCCTCAAACGAGTGGTCGTCTAGGGATACGGTCAGAGTTAGACCTCCCTTGTCAACCTTCGTATTGAGGACCTTCCAGTGCTCGGTGTTCAGACCCTCATTCTGAGCACCGAAGAATTCTAAGGCCCGCGTTGCGCTGCTGGCTTCAGAGATAGGAATATATACCACCCCCACATTAGGTTTTCGGATCTCAGACTCGCTCAAGAGAACGAGGCTTGCTTCCGGCCACGGTTTGAGGGGGGGGACTATATTCTCAAGCCAGGTTTTTGAGCGCTCATCCTCACACGTGATGAGGAGCCAGCCTGGCTTAAAGGAGCAGCCCACGAATTTAGGCCCTTCGCCCCTTCCGGATTTGGCAATGCTTTGCAGGATGGTATTGCGCAGCGACTCCAGTTGTGTGTTAGTCATCAAGGACTTGGAGTCTTTTATGCCAACCCGGATTGAGCGTACGGCCTCGCTGTAGGCTACGGTGGTTGAGGTGTTTAAGGTCTCACTCACCTTTGGGACTTTGATAATATGTCCTTTGGTATAATATCAGTAACCAATAATCATTAATAAAGCAGCTCACAAAACTTTGCTTAGAATTAACTTTTTTGTAGTTCGTTCAGTAAAACCTCAATTAGAAAAATCTAATGTATCTTCATATTAAAGTTGCCCTCTCTGTATTTCTAGTCGCTCACCTAGTAATTTAGTCGCCCGGATAGTATTTTTATGTCTGAAATGTAATAATCAAAACCCACATTTTGTAAGCTCATTCTGGATTTTATTATTGATCAATATTCGTCGTTGGTTTGGTTAATTTTTCGCTTACTCAAATTCGTACCGCTCAAGGTATTAAAACAGTATGCCATCATCAGTCGCAAAGTTTTTTTTTAGTCGCTCGTTTTATAATTCCCCTTTTTTAAATACCTTCGCGAAGTAAAACTTCTGTACGTAGTACTTATTATTATTCTGTGGTAGGATCTACTGCTTGACCGCCAATAAAAACCCAACCAAGTTGATCCCGTAGGAAATCATTGGACCCACTACGAAATTAATCGAGAACGTAGGAGGATTTTGAAGTTAGGGTTGGCGATAACCATTTTATCAACTCACATATCCACGACGCCATCGCATCGCTCACGAGAGTCGTGGAGTTGGCCCGCAGCTGCGGAATGGTAACAGTCGGTGTTCCCAGCACAAGACCGAACATGAAGTAAAACGTCCACGCCAAACTGCACACCATCGCCTGGAAATGTTGGATATACACATTAATTAAACCTCAAGGAACATTTTTAACCTTTAACTATGGACGTCGGGTCTCAGAGGCCCACCCCCCTTTCCAATTTCTCGGTTTAAACACCTTCCCGCCACGTGCTGCTCTCGACCATCTCAGTAGCTTCAGTTTTAACTGTTTTTGGACCGAGGAGGCATAAACTCGCGTCTTCCGGCACTTATTACGTGAGTAATAACCATCCAAAATTTTGTCCGGGCCTGGGAAACCCGATGACTATAATTTCCATACAACATACTTACTTGTATGGATGTGACTTGTCAACTATAATTTTTTTATATTATATTATTATAATATTAAGTAAATTGTTCTAGTTTAAACTTTCTTGTTTGTTGTTCGTAGTAATCCATGAAGCTATCGCGAATTTGAAACTATTTTTTTGGGGGCAGAATGTTATCAACAGGACCTATGATGTAAGCTCGCCTTTGATCTTTAGAACTGTTTTAAGATTTGAGTTTATTTAAAAAGTTAACCTTTCATTATCATTAAATTATTATGCGATTAGCGTCATAAGTATGTAGACTTACTAATGACTAGGTTAAGAAAATAACCAACCGGAGAATCAAATTTCCTACCTGTCTCAGAAATAACTTCCATGGAAATTTATTGTTATCACTGTCACCTCCCATTTTACTCGAAATATATTGAAATGTGAGCGTAAATATTTATTTTTCAAAACCACGCACTCAAAACTGAACACCTTGCCTACATAACTATTAAGTTGCGACTGTGAGTTGTTACAGCAAAAAAGACGTTTTAACCCCTTCAACAATCGCGTGAATAATCTGGTATCAGAATGTACTAAATTCCTCAGTTACGAATAAAACAGATGTACACACGGCCACACTGTTAACTGCCCATTAACGTTTTTGCTCTCGCTCTAATCAAATGGTGATTCTTTGCGACAGAACGAGATGACATGACTGGCAATGGGCAGTTAACACTGTTGCCGATAGTACATAGGTACTTTATGTCGTAGAACTTTGTCGTTGAAAGAGATAGTTATGAATTTATGATTATGATTTATAGTTTATTCCATTATTTATTATTTCATTCGATTAGTTACTTGGAAAACTAAAATTGTTATGTCTATTCGGTTATCTAAAATTTATCCATTCCTCCCTCCAAGTACGACAATTATTTATCGATTGTGGACGAAAATGTACGTAAATATCGTCTAAAATCGATTTAAATAATGCCTTAATACAATTATATTGCGTTGTTTACGCTAGCTTGACAAAACTGGGTTTAATACGTCGTATTTAAGTATGCAATAACGACAGCTATTAAAATTACCTACACGGAGAAGTGACAAAAATTCAATATGCGCTAAAAGACTGAATATCCGAAACTAGAATTACATGTAAAGAGAAAAGTTATTACATATTTTTAAAATAGATCTGAAACTGTAAAACTGTTTCATTCATTATCTATATATATAAAAGAAAGTCGTGTTAGTTACTTCGCTTATAACTCAAGAACGGCTGAACCGATTTAGCTGAAAATTGTCAGGGAAGTAGTTTAGAGCCAGGAGAAGGACATAGGATACTTTTTATCCCGTTCGAAATTAAAAAAAAGTCTGCTTATTTATTGCCATTAAGGCGGAACAAAGTTCGCCGGGTCAGCTAGTTGTAAATAAATAGAGTTGCAAGAAGGTTAACCAGACTGCAATGTTTCAGGTGCGAAATAAATTAAAATAAATAAATATGCAATAAAATTATTGTCACTCGCTTCACCTTTACGGCAGAGCTAATGTATGAAAATCGTTGACGAAAATATGCTGGCCACAGCGTTGCCGTGACTAACACACAATAGCAATGCCTATTTTATGTGTTTTATTTCGGAAAAGAAATAGTAGTCGTGCGTCCTACACATTTTATTGGAAAGTGAAGGCCAAGCCGCATTGTATTTTATGTGAGCCTATTGTCTTATCAGTAATCTGTCTGTTCCTTTCTGAACTGTCCCACTGTTGATATACCTGAGTAAATAGTTTCAAAACGTACCTTAACGTTTTCTTTTTTGTTTCAGAATAAGCGAAGCAGCCAGTCAGTAGTGAAGGAGAATCTCTAGCCAATACAAGCGCAAAGTTATCATGTGCACACTATACATAGAACAGTAGGCCCGCTTCCATCATAAAGTGCGTGACAACTTAGGCTGGGTTGCATCATCTTAATTTTAACAAGCGTCAAAATCTGTCAAACTACATACATAAACCACCGGTTACTTATCATTAAAGTTGCGGTTAAAGTTAAGTGGTCCAACTCAACCTTTTAGAAGTGCTGGTGAAACCTAGCTTGTACGTCGCAGCTGTCGCGTATTTTATGTAATCTAGCACATCGAACAAAATATACCTGTATCATCTCAGGTTTCCTACACACAACACTGCCTCAAAAGTAAATAATATTCTGCCTACTTCTGTATAAAAATATTCTAAAAATCATCATTCACTAAAGTAACCACGAAACCGTCCTCCCTTCTACTTTTTTCCGCTTGAATGTGTGTAAATACGTCATGACTGTGTTTACGAGCACATGCAATTATCATTTTGATTTTAGAATGAAAGAATCTACTAGAGGGGTTAACGAATCATGGTTACTCAAACGAGCGGGCCTTCAACGTTTTTCTATGTTGTGTAAACTTAAGACATTGTAAATATTTCCATTTACCGCGTGTCTGAACCGTGGGGGGCAAGAGACATGGTAATATCTTGGTTTGGTAAAATTCCACTCAAAAGCCGACTTAAGAGTTATAATATCAAAGTTCAGATTTGCTTGTAAATAATAAATCAACTTGAAACACACCTCGTCTGCTTCTTTGAAAAATCAGATTTTGATTTTTTTTTTACTTATTTAGATAGTTAAGTTCTTGAGGAGAATAAATAGCAAAAGAATTACTATAACATGCCATGTTATTAAGTTTTTATTCTGTTTTATAATATTTGATTATTTATTTTTATACCATTTGAGTGGACTTTTATAAAGGCATTATCATATCGCTTGTGCGCGGTGCTTAAATGTGATGTTATATTTGAAGCAATCGTACATTATCTGTGCGCTGTTAGATTATTATTTATTATTAAAATTAAATAAATTTATTAAAACACATTGTTTTATTTCAAAGGCGACACCTATAACATAAATATTGAACTATACCTACTGACGACTGGTTATAGATGACCCACGCTGAACTGTCCCACCAAACTCAATGACAGGGGGGGCGCTAACATCGTTCAACTACCTATATGGTTTCCAACATGGCAAAAATCGGAACCAGCGATCCGGTATTGACGGTGGCGCCCCGCTGTCAATGTCATAGATAGGACAGTTCAGTATTTTGGAACTATATTTTGAAAGGAGTGCCAATCGCCATCGATGGCGCTAGCTGTCTAGTGAAATTGCATTTTTATTTACAAAGGCGACACCTATAACAAATTTTGATCTGCCTATTGGCGACTGGTTACTTTGATAGGAGCGCCATAGATGGCGCTAGCCGTCTAGTGAAAATACATTTCCTCCAAGTAAAACCAAGTAAACATGGGCCACAAATTATCACTATTGTTTTTAAAAATAAATGATAAATTGCTATATTATTGAAAAATAATATGTAATCTATACTTCTATACTAATATTAAAAATGCGAAAGTAACTGTATGTCTGTCTGTCTAGCTTTCACGCCTAAACCACTAAACCGATTTTGATTAAATGCATAGAGATAATTTGAGTCCCGGGAAAGGACATAAGATAGTTTTTATCCCTGTTTTTGAAACAGGGACGTGCGCGATAAAGATTTTCTGTGACACTAAATTCCACGCGGGCGAAGCCACGGGCCGAAAGCTCTTCTTCTTCTTATTCGTTACACTCTTGGCAGAGCGGTCGTGGTCACGTTAAGGCGTTGTTATCTGTGCTCTCATGTGACTTTCTTGGGAATGTGATCGCAGTGGTTTCCGAAAGTTAGTAAAGACTATAAATAAGTAGGTATTCTTGACAACTTGGAGACAATGGTGACATAATTGGTTCTCGTATTTTCCCTCAAAAGCCAGTTTGAATTTAGAGACTTGTGAAAATGTCTTTTAGAAAACTTTATGGACAAAAATATGTGTACAAGACTTACTAGAATTACTTACTGCTAATTGCGAGCAATCACTAGATACTCACTTAGATTTAAAGCAAGTGAACGCGATTAAAAGGTTAGAGACATTCGCTTATTATACGCATAAATACAAAGCGTATATCAAACCCAACGAAATAATAATTTCTCCCAAAATCCCTGGTAAAATTAAGACGTTCGCAGTAGCCGGCTGTCCGGCTGTCGGCGTACAATGGGCGGCTGACAGCAAGACGGATCGGCCGCGGGAGATCGCTCGCAAATTGTAAAAATACCCGCAACTGGACCCGCTTGTATTGAGCTATTGAAGCTTCGAGTGTGGGTACTCTTAAGCTAATAAATAGATACTGGTTTCCTGTCTTTTAATGCATTCCACACTCGACATCAAATAAATCGACCCCTCCTGCGACGCGAACTTTAAAGATTTTCTTCTGACACAATCATGGTAGGTACCCCAACAATATTGGTGTTATTTGAAATATCCTTAAAGAAAAACACATTTCATTTTTTAATAAATGATTAACATATACCTACCATAAATGTGACTTTAAAACCATAAATGTGACTTGAAAAAAGACCTCACTTTGGGCTCACCTCTGGGATCAATTAGACCAATTTTTGTGGTTATAAAACCAAATAATGATCTCGCGTGTCCTCTTTAACAGATGGATAGCGATTAATCCCAACTTAACAGTTTTATAGTCATAAAAAAGTTGTCTCAAGCGTAACTACCTATTTTTTTATGAAGTGACTGGATTCTTCTACAGACACATTTTTGGGGTATAAACCTTTCCTTAAATGAAATGAAGTTTACAGCTAGGCTTTTAAATGGTGCCAATATTGGTAGGAAATATGGATGCATACGTTTGAAAATGCTTGTCGCGGGAGGGTCGATTTATTTGATGTCGAGTGTATTATATCTTGTCAACAGGGCTGGATTTACCCATTATGGCTTTTTGGGCTTTAGCCCAGGGTGCCGTAGATTCAAGGGGCCTCCAGCTAAGACAAGTCAAAGATAGACGATAACGCAAAAGAGTGTATTAGGTGGGCCCCTAAGTAGTTAGTACCTACTACTGAGGTAGGGGGCACTGGGCTAATACCCAGGGCCCCCTAAACTCACGGTCCGGCCCTGCTTGTCAGTTCCCCTAGGTAGGCGAAGAAAAATATGTGGCAGTTTAAATTTCTAAATCGCTTAATCGTTTAGCTCCAGTTATTTTGCAGGTACCTACAGTCAGCGTTAAATAGTTTGTGACCCCCAAAGTGAGTAATTTGACGGTATAGGTACCTACCTAATGTAGTTTTTTCGTAAAGCAATATTGGAAAAAAAAGGGTTATTCCGTATTCGACCCACGACAACTCAACCCACTCATTATTTTTTCCTTACTCAACCCAATTTTGTTCCTTACTCTACCCACAACAAATTTTTAATTTTATGTTCCTTATTCACCCCAAAAACTTTCCTAGCTCAACCCGTTTTAAAACCACTTAAAAAATATAAGATTTTTATGTACGGTCAGAATAAAAATATATTTTTTAGAAATTTAAGCTCCATTAACTTTTGTGTTAAGATCGTTCTATTAAATAAAACTGCAGGAATTCTGATACAATAATACATTGGAAAAACGTTTTTCACAAAAGGACACAAATCAAATAATGACTAATTAGAATATGCTATAAATCTGCTATAAATCAAACGACTGTGATTTTTTATTAAATCAGTATAACCAAGCGATGGCGTATAATTTTTTCCCTAGACACTTGTTCATGAATGTACAAATATTTCAAATAATACAATGTATTTCATCTTTTTTTTCAAGCGGTATGAGATGACAAAAGAAAAATAATAAAAGTATTCATGTGGACAGCTAATCCCGCGGTAAAAGTTTTCAGCCTCTAAATTTGTTTATGTATTTACCTTAAAATAAAATAAAATCTTTGATATATTTTAGTTAATCAACATATTCATATCTTATAATTTTTTCATGTAGGTGATGTTTTTTATTTTTTTTATTTAATTATAAATCAATGTACATACTAGTATGCATTTATCATTATTAAATTTCTGAAAAAACAGTAAACGTTGTTTTGCTATCCATACTTATTTTTGGTATATTTACTTTGGGTTGAGTAAGGAATGCATTTGGGTAGAATAACGAAATTATGTAATGGGTTGAGCTAGGAATACTAATTTGGGATGAGTGAAGAAATGGGTTGAGTAGTCATGGGTCGAATACGGAATAACCCAAAAAAAACTCACGATAGTTACTTTGTCTAGGACTAGGGCCTGGTTATGACCTTGACCAATCGAAGGAGTAGTGAAACCGTGAATCACCTTGAGCGCAAAGGGTTCCGGGTTCGATGCCGGTCGAGTTAATTAGGAAACGATCTATTTCAAAATGGATCACGACTGTAAAACTGAATGAGCAAAACTATTTTTGTAGAAGACTCTGTAACTAGTAGATCTTTATGTCACAACCAAGATTGCTTACTTTTATTCGGGTACCTTAACTAGAAATACCTATACCCATTAAGTAGGTATTTGTTGTTTCTTTATGTTAGAGCCTGAGTAGGTAGTGGTTTGAGTGGAAACCTCAAGGACAATATTTTTTTTAAATTATACTTAAAGGACAACAGTCACAGAATTTAAACCAAATGAAATAAACTCATTCAACAAACTACGTAACTAATCATGAATAGTCCGTTACCCTGTTGTTTATTTCTCAAATTCTGTCTGTACATCATCGATGTGAACAATTTAAGGTGAAAATTACATATCCTAGGACAGACAGACATAAGTACAAGGTAAATACAAAAATAATAATTTTATCGAGTACCTACATACATCGCAATCTCCCATTATTGTTGTAAGCAGCGGCAGCGGGCAGGAGCGCCGGCAACAAACAATACATCGCGACACCATGATGGATGGCCTCGGCGGCGGATTTGGGAGACGTTTACTTAGCCGGATTGCTGGATTCGGGCAAATACCGTAAGTACGCAAAAACTCATGTTCTAAAGATCCTACGAGCAAGCTACCTACTAGAAATCTACAACCCAATTTGGTGCCTATAAATAAACAGGACACGAGAGAGCCAGCCTTTGAAACGATATCCAGACCACGTTTCTACGGAGATTCCGGAAATTCCTGTCGCATTCCAAGATTTTTTGACTAGACTATTACCTAGATCCTTAAACAATTAGGTACATCCTCGACAATCTCGAAATAATACACGCATTTAACTACCGTCCACATAAAATACAGACAAGACTGTGTAAGACCAAGGACGAAAATCGAATCCGCGCACCTGTGGCGCAGCAGCAGAGTTCTTCAACCATTAGGTACCTAAGTAAAACCACTATCCAAATTATTGGTTTCTCCAGAAACTTTAATATTACGTGTATGTAAAATAAGTTTAACGTTTACTTACCTTATCTACTCGCATATTTCAGCAACGTTGTAAATACCTACTTATTATGAGAGATGCGAGAAAGTGACATTACAGACGAGTCTTAGAATTCACGTCCCATCAAGCTCTTTTTTCATCCAATTCCATAATAATAATTCATATCTCAATTTCCAAGCCAATCCGAAGCTTTCAACGCGAAAAAATCTAAGGCACGGTCTAACGAAAATGTCAATCCCGAATAAAGGTATAATTTCTGTCCCCACAATGCCGGGTGATGGATCGCCCGGGTCTCCTGCACGTGCGATACGCGGGTAATAATAAAAATGGATTTTGTCACCGTGGAAATTTGTTCAAAGGAACCGCTGAATTTGCAGTGTTGCTTACGAGTAGATACATACGTGGGTTTCCGACGACGCCTCTCAAAATTACCTACGCGCGAAAGTTAGAAAATCTTACTCTATGTTTTCATACATTCACATATACATATATTACACATACACACACATTACACATACACACACATTACACATACACACACATTACACATACACACACATT